CCGCCCCCCCCCGCCCCCCCCCCCCCCCCCCGCACGCACACCCACCTGTCTACCTTGGCTGCCGCTGAAGACTACATTTCCCAGCAGGGAAAGCGCGGCATAGCCAGTGGGGTCGAAGTGGATGGCATCAGAGCGGAGAGCAGAGAGCGGACAGCTGCAGCCAGGTAAATATAAGACATCCCCCGAAAATAAGACCTAGTGTATTTTTTCAAAATATAAGACACTGTCTTATTTTCAGGGGAACACGGTAGCTACACATGACGTTTCCTGACATCTGTTTTTTTTGTCTGTTCACTTTTATCATTTGTGGTTCTTCAGCTGATGGGTTCACATTACCAGAGCAGCAGAGGGTCTTGTGACTTTCCTCATCAGACCCTGTGCACCCCCCTGCAGCTTTGGTGACCAATATAAGTAGAACTTTAGGTAAACTGTTAAAGTGACACTAAACTCCGGAGTTAAATCTTAATAGTTAAAGGCAATTGAATGCATTTTAACAACAATGTATCTTATTTGTAGGGATGCACAGATAGAGATACTAGTATTGGTGCCGATGCCAAATACTTGTACTCGCCCAAATGCTCCGATACCTAGCCCGATACTTGAGCTTCCGGTATCAGGAAGTCATTACACGCTACCCAGCTTCCTGATTGGCTAGTAAGCCGGCTCCATGCTCCCTCTTCCTGGCCAATCAGGAAGCCGGGCAGCGTGTAATGACACGGTGCCCGGCTTTCTGATTGGCCGGGAACGTGACGAGGGAGAATGGAGCCGGCTTACTAGCCAATCAAGAAGCTGGGCGCCGTGTCATTACACGGCGCCCGGTTTCCTGATTGGCCAGAAAGCCGGTTCCATACTCCCTCATCACCTAGTGACGAGAAACCATGGAGACGGCTTCCCTGCTAATCGGGTAGCCGGGTGGCGAGTCTTTACACACCGTCTGGCTTCCTGAATGGGACTTTCGGTATCCGCGAGTACCGAAAAAAAAATATCGGTACTCGATACCGAAAAAACGGTATCGGTGCATCCCTACTTATTTGTGTATCACTTGGCTGTAGATCCTCCAATCATCTCTGAATTGGTGCCGACACTGTCCTTCCTTCTGGAGGGGGGCTACGTCTGTTCCCCATGGTCCCTGTGTGTGTTGTAAAGTAGTCACCACTCCAAGCTCCCCCCCGGGATGGACTACAATCTCAATACAAATCAGTAAACTAAACATGAGGTTGTAGTCCATCCCGGGAGCGAGCTTGGAGCGGTGACTACTCTACAACACACACAGGGACCATGGGGAACAGACGTAGCCCCCCTCCAGAAGGAAGGACAGTGTCAGAGATGATTGGAGGATCTACAGCCGAGTGATACACAAATAAGATACATTGTTCAGAGTTCAGGGACTTGAATGTATTTCTAAGATATAACTCCGGGTTTAGTGTCACTTTAAATACCAGGCTGAGATACATTATGAGTGTTTGTATGATATCAGTTACAAGGTATCACTTGGAAATGTCCTTGAAGAGCCTTTATCAGCGGCATGTGCTGAAGTTCAGCAGATTATTGAGCAGATATCAGCCAGTGTGGAGCTTTCATGACTGCGGGGACATATTTAGGTGAAAGAGCCTTATTATTATCGGAAGGGAATAAATAATATTTGCTGACTGTGTTTTCTGCTGACTGCCAACGTATGTGTGTGCGCTGAGTGTTCCTCAGCCGCTCCTATCACTGCTCCCTATATGATGATCATATAGAACAGGGGTGGGGAACCTCCAGCTGTGGTGAAACTACACATCCCATGATGCATCTGTCTCTGAGGGTCATGCCTGTGGCTGT